CCCCTGTTCTCCCCCTTGAGAGGATTAGCTTAGCCAGCCACTCGCCCATGGCTCATCTTTTCAAGTTCCTTGTCACCTATAAAACAGTAAGTTGGTTTTGGTTTCTTGGCCCTAATTTTTTTGCCTGGTCTTTGTTAATGGTCTTCGACTCCCACGTCTCCCCCATTTTCTTCGTGGGCTCATTATTTCCTGTGTCCAAGACAGTTGATGACACTTGTGATATCAAAAAAGTATTACGAATCAGCACGCGCAGAATTGCGTTTGACAGAGCTTGAAATGAATAACGGCCAGTTTTGCCTTGCCGTATACCTCGGTCATCGTGTTTTTTTGGCAGAATCATCCATATGTCCATTAATTAAAGCCACTACCGTCCTTAAGTTCAGTTGACTTAGTGCACATGCAAGCCCAGTTGGTTGCCCTAAAATCTCACTAAATCATTACTCATGCACAGTCTATATGTACAGTACATGTACATGGCTACATGCACGGTACGTACGTCGGGAGTGTGCTGATACTTCAAGCAGTAACTTCAAGCAGTAACTCTTGCTACAGAAATAGATTATATAGATGTTTGTATTATCCACAATACAACGTCGTACTTTGGTACTCTATAAGTCTTAGTGTTTGCTTTTGCAATGACAGATCACACCTTGTTTCCGTTTGTAGGCATTTTGGAGGGAGGATGGTTTATCAGGAGAGATTGTCAGCAATGGGGGTAAGCCGACTATTGAAGGTCTCAGCTCAGGCCCTCTCCAGTTGACGTTTGACGCTACGTCGCCCAAAGGCAGTCCAGCCCTTGTGGGATTTTATGCCAACGGCAGAGAGTGGAGCAACATCGACGTAAGTTTTAATAGTAAGATTAAGTAAAAAATTAAGATTAAGTAAAAAAAGCAAAGATTTGAGTGAGCAGGCTGAGAAATAATGCAGGTGCTTTGAAAAGTGTGGTGGTTCCATTTTGTTGGCAGTGTTGAAGTTTGGAAATTCAGGTTTTCCGGTTGTTTTTTCCCCTGATTTGTATGCCTTGATCTTCAGAGTTGAAATGTGAAAGAATTTCAATGGGCTTTTTTGAAAAAAAGATTGCATGTCACTTTTCTGTGTATCAGCCAGAGGTCAGGAAAGCCGCCATACTAGATGCCTTAGCTGAGTTCTTGGGACCCAAAGCCAAGGAGCCACTAGACTACAAGGAAAAGGTGAGCTTCACTGGCAGTTCATGAAGGCTGATGGACTGGATTCCAATCTGGCCCATTCTATTAATACTTGGTTACCTATGCTGAGGTGCATCTTAATGTTCTGGCTGTACTTAGAGAAGCCTGAGACTATCAGCTACAGCCATTTCTGCTAGAGGTATGATATACTGTCAGCCGCAGCCATAACTTTTGTACACAGCCTCACATCGGCTACGTAGAACAGACTTGTTAAGGTCAGCAAGTTTTCTCAACAATGTTCTGCCAGTTTTTGTAACCAACTCCTTAATGTTTGTAGGTCTTGGTGCGGCAGTTTTGGTTCTTGTTAGTATTAAAATCAGGCATGTGCCATTTTACTCTTTACATCTGAGACGCATAAACACATGTACCTTAATTTGCCAATATCTGCAATTCCATATTACTACATCCCTGAATTTCCTTTGATCAACATACATGCTTTTGGATTTCATATTTTAAGATGTTGTTGTCCCAGTGAACAGCCCGATATCTCCAAATTTAACAATTCCTTTTCTTTCTGACTTCCCTTTGTAAGGACTGGGCTCTAGAACCTTTCAATGGCGGCTGTCCTGTCAATGTCATGACCCCAGGAGCAATGACTTACTTCCATGGAGGCCTCCGAATGCCATTTGACAGGTAAAATATCTCATCAAGTATGTAATCACTTTATCTGCTTCGGGCAGAAGCACCCCTCATCAGTTCAAAGAGCCTCATTGGTTGGGAGCATTCTTTTTGTTGATAGCGATGTGACTGGAATGCTTACGTTTCCTAGTCATTCATGAACCAGTATTGCACTCTTAGTACTAAAGGAGCCTCTGTTGCTTAGGAAATAGCGCCCTCTTTTGGTCCAGCTTGAAGCCTATAGGGGCAAGCTTAAATATAAACTCTTGTTTCACAACCGATCAGCTTCTTATCAATGTGCAAGCTTGCTAGAAAAACAAGTAGTAACTACTGCTGTGAAGCCCCATCATCACTTCATTTTGCTGTTGTTGCGTCGCACCACGTTTATGGACTATGCCACGATGCGCAAATAATTTCATGTCATTGGTTCCCTCAGTACTGAATTACTAAAAAAGGCTATTAGTAATCAGTGATGCAGCGGTGGGACAGGTGTAGCCTGTAGATCTAAAGGGAGTGCATTGCCTAAGGCCAACCAACAGGCAACACCACTGGAAAATTGTGGTAGATAAAGTAAGGCTGCCTCTGAATTTCTTAGCTACTCCAGTTGGTCGTGGGTTATGGACTTAGTTGGCAGTCAACAGCTACCCTTAGGCTTGCCTTGCTTCTGGCCATAGCCAAATTTATTTGGTTGAGGCCTAATAGCTGCTTCATACAAAAAAGAACACAAATACGAAATTGTGACCTTGGGTCAAATATTTGTGTTGGGAATTTGCAAAATCGAATACATTTCAGCTTAAAGGAATTTTTTGGGAAAATTTTCATGATGTCAAATTCATGTTGCTTCCACGTTTGCTTGAAAAATGAACCAGCCTCAAGCCACTTCATTCTCCAACATCTTCTCCCCTTCCCAGGGTGCACTGGGCCGGCACCGAGTCAGCCACCCATCACTGCGGCTACCTGAGCGGAGCGGTGCAGTCCGGAATGCGTGCCGCCAACGAGGTCCTGCGCCGTCTGGACCCTCAACACATCCGGGACGAAATCCTGGCTGCGCTGGATGGCCGGCGGCACTACAAGGAGGAAGAGGTCAAGGAGACGTGGGGGTGGGCATCACTCGGGGGCATGATAGGGGTGGCTGCCTTGGCAGCATTGGTGGTCAGAAGACTTTGGTACGACTGATGCTGCAATGGGACGATTCATACGCTATCCTTGGACTAGGAGTGTAACAGCTTCCGGCATCAAGACGGAAGGACCACATGGATTTTGGTGATTGTTATCCAGCATTTCATTAAATGATCATCTGTTCCAATTGCCATTGCATACCATGCAGTAGAATATCCATCAGGGGAGGTAATTTGTTCCTCCCCCCCTCCCCTTAGACATCTTGCCCATTTTTTTTCAGGAAATGAAATTGCCAACACTTCAGAAACAGAACTAGCACCTCCCTTTTGAGAGGGAGGGATCTTACTTAGATAGGGAAAAAATTGGGCAATGGTTCCCAAGTTTTCATGCCACATTCCCAGGACTAAAAACGTGGCTATGCCACTGATACCCATGCTTCACTCTAATATGCATTACTGTTGGTGCAGTGCATAGATAGATTAGAGATCTTGCCGTTTGCCTAACTTTGAAAGCAAAAAGAAGCAACTTTTATTTCACCTTGTCCATGAATGTTCATTATTTATAACTTTTATATTAATTGCACTCATTGCATATCAAGAAAGATTAGATTCACACCGATAGATGTATATACTAAATAGCAAACCAGGGAAATATCCTTGTCCATATATCAGCAATTGTTATATTTTCATCAAAATAGAGGGTTGTATGTTGTGCACATTTTTTGACCATTTACATTCGAAGAACTGGTTTGAGTGATGACTGTAGTTAACCACTGTTTGACCAAGTAACATTTTTCAGGTTGCTATGTATGTGTGTGTGTATTGAGTGCATACCTGGATTCATGTATATCAGCTTGTGTAATGTGTATGCTCAGTGCTTTTTTGAGGAGAATTTTTTGGGCCAAGGATTTGCAATAAGGTGTGGGGATTGGAGTAAGTTTTTGTCGGGGAGAGCAAATTGATGTTGTGGTAATGATTTGAGATTTAGAAAGTGAAATCTAGAAAGAAATGAGGGTAAATATCTGAGTAAAAAGATCTTTTTACACCTCCCTTCACAGTAAGGACTTCATTGATACTTGTCCTTCTAAAACAAAATGTAAAAATCACACATTTTTGTCAAACACCCAATTTTTTTGACAAATCTGTCTTGGAACCAGTTTCCACTTATTGGCCAAGCCTATTGTTATCAACTCAAATGAAATAATTTTATTTTAAATTACAAATGCAGGCATACTTAAAAGCTTCAGACACTGATTGATTTTTTTTTTACGGTAAAACAGAAAATGCTTTGGTGGTGCTCAGAGTTGTCAATCAAAGAGTGACCTTTTCCTGAATTCAACCAATTCCTGTTCATTGGTATTTGTGGTGCTCACCATTTGTTAAATAGGTACAATTAGTCATCAAGTTATCAGTCTACCTTCTACTCTTTGTTTACTGTCCAAAATTTGGAATACCCTCCGGTTCTTTGTCAAAAGAGATTTGTACTACCACAAACCTCTTTACCCAAATGTATTTTCATCTTTATATTGCATGTACCTGTCATTTATGTATAAATACTTTGCATACATACAAACTTATTAAATATCATGATCCTTTAAAATTGTTCTGCTGCTGTTAATGCATTGGGTATCTGTCTGAATGATATTACATGTAGTAATAATTTATTATAAACGTAGCATTTTATATTTAAATGCTTCTTGCATCAAGGTTGAGGGACCAACCTTCACAAGGTTTCAAAACTACATGTGTATAAAAATACAAAAGATGCATAAAAAATGATTTTCACAAATTAAAAATAATGTCTCTTTAAGAGAAAGTCTTTAAGGTGTGATTAAAACAACACACATTTATTAATGCTGCATGTGATGTCTCATTTTACTGTTGCCGTGTGACAGTTAAATCATTGTACCTCTGTTTTCCAAATAAAGGAAATATATGCCATCCCTGAGATGAGAGAAATGGGAACACAGTTTTGTTGTCAGTCTGTCTCTTGTTTTACATGCAGTTAAATAAATTTTGAGGTGGCCATGTGCTCTGGGAAAGTATTTCAAAGTTCTTATTACTAATAATTGTTTCTTGGATAAAGGACAGAACAAAGGGATTGAAACTATTTATGAGATTGGATTTTTGTCAAAACAACAGCTGGAAAAATCGATGTGGGTGTGAGGGCCTGGGGATAGCGTCAGGTGCATGAGTCCAGAGGTGAGGTTAGGTAAAAACACGTGAGTTCACACATTTTTTACATACGACACGACGGCGCGAGCGCGAGATCGGCGCAGGTGCGCTGCATGCTGGGCCCGTCGGGTCCAGCAAACTAGTGCTCGCCGTACATTTCACTTGGGCGGTACCGAGTCCAAGGTCCAAGTTAGGCTAGTTGAAGCCGAGCTGGCTCTGAATTTCTTCCAATTTCATTTCCCTAGAAGTTGAAGCGGAAGTTCGACGTGTTAAGGTGAGATTTGCGGGAAACACTGGAATGATTTTAGGCCCAGACCTACTTGTGTCTGAGACACAGCAGTTCAGCAGTCATGTTTAGACGAGTTGGATCGATAGCGTTAAGCTTCGGTTATCATATACCCAGCAAGAAANGTCTCATACCTTGCTGCATATGGGTTATTAAGTGTCCTTGCCATAGCTGCTGTGGTATTGCCGACTGCCGGGCACTGATTTATTACTTTGAATATTTAAAATCTGAAGATAATCTTTTTACGTAAGCCTGTTATCACTAAACAAAAAATTTAAAAGTCAAATAATATTTGGCAATATTGCAGTTTCAAAATCCGCCGAAACGAACTCGTACATTACAGGGAGTTTTCGCTGGAGTTTGCCTGCTTGCCATAGCAACATCTACATGTATCTGATTGTGATCATACACGTCATACTTACTAGTTTAAAACCCCAAATGTGAGTTCTTTACATTTCCTCATTCTATTCAAGTCACTCACCAGTTATCAATTTTATCAGATTTTGAGTCTATAATAAATAATTGTGAAATTGTAATAATGGTTTTCGAATCTGTAATCATGAATTGCCAACATGTACTAATGGATTTGAATTATACTAGTTACAGATTGTGAATTCATTATTAATGCGTTTTGAATCCTTAATAACAGATTGCTAATCCATAATAATGGGTTTACGCTGGTGAATCAAAAATAAGGGATGGGAAATCCATAGTAATGGATTGGCAATCTGTTAGAATTGATTTTGAATCCATTATATGTAATGAAATCTGAATCCTTAAACAGTGGATTGTGAATAAAATCCATAATACAGATTGCCCTGCTTTTAATATTTATTTATTTATTTTAGGGGTTGATGCTTATGGGCTCTTGTATTTGTTGGCGTAGTAACATTAGTTTTTAGACTTTGATGCAAGACCTAGACCTAACCCAAGAACAGATTCAGATACAGCCATCATAGTATGGCAATGAAGAAATTTGTGAATTTGCTGTGCCATCCTAAAAGCAGGGTTTCTTTCACTTTATAGAACAGGGTCAAATGTAGGTTTTGAAGATGGAGGCCAGCTTTTCACTCAATCCGATCTCCAAGTCATCAGCAGACTGGGATGTGCTCGTGATAGGAGCTGGGGTAGCTGGATTGACCACTGCCTACAGACTTCTGCAAGAGAAAGCAGACTGCAGAGTGCTTGTTCTTGAAGCCAAAGGTAGAAACATTTTCAGGCATGATATTATACAGTCATAGGCTAGAATTCCATGTCAGACCGTCACAAGTTTCAAGTTTCATATAAACACCCACAAGATTTCTCAAGCTTGTTTCCCCATACATACAGAGCCCCACATCTCTAAAATCTCCCTTAGCCCAAGAGATTCCCCTATAAACCTGGTGATGTTTGTGCAACTCAGAACTTGTAATGATTAAATATATGAAGGTTTCCTCATTCGAGATTAAACTTACATTAGCTGCATCAAAATTAGGTTGGCAGTTTGAGCTGCTGGCCCATCTCGACCCATACAGTCTGAAGCCGTGTGTAAGGATGCAAGCCAGGTACAGTTGGTCTAGAGTTTTACTTTTTTTTACCCTCCCACAGTTTTCATTCAAAATCAATTCAACTCACGGGTGAATCTGAGGGAGCCGTGGAGGCAATTCCCCCCAGAAATGACCCCCCCTTAAAAATTTCTTATTGGCAAAATGATGCAAGAAAGGCTAAATTTTCAGTCTTTTCTTTTCTTGTCTTGTCTCTTCTTTTTCTTTTCTTTCCTTCAAAAAGCATCTAAAAACCCTAAAGTATAGCCTCCCTCAGAAAGGCCAGAAATGTCACAACTTACGTGAACAACTTTCCAAAGTTAGCCCCTAAAAAAACAAAGAACTGGCACCCCCGAGAAGTTGGGGTTGGACTCTTAGGCTTGAAATCCTTTACTGTACGGAAAGCCAATGGCACATTCCTTGCATTATAACAGTGGCCGCAAGGGGGTTGCCTCAATCCTGTTAGATCTTCAAAAGCCTGTAAGTGGACTTTGAAGAGGGGTATGACCGGATTCAGGAGCTGATTTTCAGGTATTTATATTGTAATTCTTTGTTCTAGACAGAGTTGGAGGTCGGACGTTGTCGACCGAATTGCAAGGGGCTCATGGGAAAGATGTATGGGACTTGGGAGGTCAGTGGGTTGGGAAGTAAGTACCTGCAAGGAGTGTAATTTTATGGCATTGTTTTCAGCTTGTCTAAATTTATGCTACTGTACAGACTGGCATGGTAGTACTATGCCAGTGATATTCAGTGCAGGTAGTTCATGTACAGTCGTCCACTTCATGCAAGTCTACAGTGATGCGTCTGATAGGCAGTAATTGCAAAGTGTATTTAGTTTAACGTTTTCAGCTTGTTCAGATTTAATCTTAGCCTTTTACTTTTCCATGATGATTTGTGGCATTGGTTGGTCAAATATCTTTGGATATCAATATCGGTTTTTATTTGATTTAGCACTCAGCATCACCTCCTCTGGCTCATGGAAGAACTTGGACTGGAAAAATACCCACAATACACCACAGGCAAGAAGCTGATGTTGCTAGGCAACAAGGGCATTCGGTCCTACAAATCCAGCATCCCTTCCATGTCTCTGTTTGGACTTATCAATCTGCATAACTTCATGACTTTGGTGAGTACTGCACAAAAATGTGTTGGTATGCAGTCGTTTCTTGGAGAAATCTTGGCTCAAATTTTAGGTAATTTGCATACACCCTGCACTTATAGGGCCTCATTCAGCTTTTTAAATGCCTTTCTGAACAGTGTGAAATCATCCAGGCAGGACTCTCATTTCTGCAGCTATTTCTGCACCCAAAATATTCCGGAATGTTGGCTATTTTCCTATTCCTTGTTTTGGTTCATGACGTTAAACCAGTGCGCAATGTTTTCCTGCAAATATTTTTAGTTGAAAAATTTTAAGATCATAAATTGAGTAGAATCCCCCAAATGAACTGTGTTCTACTGTCATAACATCACAGCAACAGTGCTCTCACTTGTGAGGATAAACATGGAAAATTTTGAATTTTTTAAAAACTGCACTTTTCAGTGAGAGAGACCAAAATGAATGCCAAATAGTTTCCTTGCACTAGAAGAAGAGAACATAGAAAGCTGTGCAAAACATGCTCCTAAGTGAAAATCACAATGTAATCATTCTGATAAAGTCAAACAGAGAGAGTAGCATTTGAATTTTGATGCGAAAGTAAGCTGTGATGAATGTATTGACAGACTGACAGACTAGCTTCAAGCATTCCCCTGGACAGCCCAATGACGCGGCACAACGCTGCTGCGCTTGATGGGACAACTATGCACACTCTCCTGTGGGACACAGTGACAATGCAGGGTTTGTGCAGTTTTTCCGTTTCTCTTGAATTGTTAAACCATTTGTTGTGGGCTTGAAAAAAAGGCTATTTTTTCTTCGCTTGGCGTCAGTGGAAGACAAGACGTTTGAGATTCTGCAGCTACATGTAGGTGTTTTTTACATCAAGAGGTGATCTTGTTGTTGATCAAAGATTGCAAAATCGTAGATAAAACGTACTGTGGTAATCCATTATTGTTGTTTTGTTGCTAGGAATTACACTATAAATATTGGGACCTTGAAGTAATTTGTCTAACCCTAGGGTTAAAAATGTTATGATATTAAAATAATAAAATCTCTACGTGATTACTTGATAAACCTAACTGTGCTTTTTATTCTGACACCGTTGAGAAAAGGGTTGCTAGGGAATGCCATATATGTTGTTTAACTTCTGAGCTTTTTTGCTACATTTCAGGTCACCCAAGTAAAGCAGTTTCCATCGGTTTGTCCTTTTTTTTATTTCTGATTTTTTTTATTGGTTTTTTTTTGGTTTGCTCAGAGGTTTGGGATGCCGTAAAAGTATCTGCAGCTATTATCAATGGTGCCTCACCACGTATGATGTCAGTCATGTACTTTATGCATTACGTTAGCAGTGCTGGGGGCATAAAGAATCTGATAGAAGCAGAAGGTGACTCCAACAACAGCTTCAGGATAAAAGTATTGCATGCTTATCTGTCTTTCCCTTCAGGCCCCCCACCTCCTCTGTACCCCTACTTCCCACCCTCCTAGCTCCAATCCTATATTATGCAACACTGCACTCCCTGCCCTACACCCTACCTGGCATCCCCCCTTACAGGCCCCACTTGCTGCCCCATCCCCCTATACATATCCACACTGTACTCCCTCAGACTGTCCCTACACCTTACATTATACCTTGCACCCCTCCAGCACAACCCCACTTCCCATCAGCAGGGCCCCACCTCTATCCACACTGCACCAGTCCCAACACCCAACCTCACACTCCTCCACCACAATCCCACTTCCCACCATCCAGGCCCCTGTGACCCCTATCCACACTGCACCCGTCCCAACACCCAACCTCACACTCCTCCACCACAATCCCACTTCCCACCACCCAGGCCCCTGTGACCCCTATCGACACTGCACTCCCTGCCCTGTCAAATACCTGACCCCGCACTCCTCTACCATGACAGCTAGATGGACTGTCCTCACTTCTCCAGTCCTCATCCCTTTCTGCCCTGCACTGCCTTCCCTGCATACTACCTCGTACCTCTCCTCCCATTCTAATGTCCACATCACTCCTTGGGGGATATCATCAGTTGCCTACTTCGCAGCCTCCTCCTACTCCCACATATTCCCCACTGTTCTTCAATCTTCACTCCTTCAAGGCAACCCACCTTGACTCTTCACTATCCCCCTGCCCGCTGCAATCCGCCCCCCCCCCACCTGCAACCATGCCCTGAAATTCAATTCTTGCTTCAGAATTGAATGATTGTATTCTTCTCCTTTAGACATCAAAAACCTCCGTAGTTTTAGTGCTTTCAACTAAGTGAGAAAAATTAATGAAACAGACTTTGAAATATACGA